GACCAACAGTCAATCAACGAACAGGGAAGAGAAGTCAGTCAATGTCTGTGTTAGAGAATGTCTGTATTAGAGAATGTCTGAGAAAGTCATAGAATGTCTGTATTAGACAATGGCAATAAGTGAAATCGGAATGTATGTGGAAGCAAACTTTAAAAGTCATTAATTACCAGGTGCTAAGGATTTTGGGCTTTAATCAGTAGGCGATGAAAAGCAAATCAAGCCTTTGAAATTTTGTGGAGAGTAAACCGGAGACAGAATGTAAGAGCTCCTTTCTCAAAGAAAGGTTTGAGAAAGGTTCTTGTCTTTTTAGCTATATTAGTGTAGAGTTTTGTTTTCAAGTTAAAAGGCACCATACTCCAGTTAGTTTAGGCCACAGATGGCAAACACAAGGCCCATGGGCCGAGTCCAGCCCTCCACCTTGTTTTATCTGGCAGCAGCACTGAACTCTCGATTAACAGTTAAGGAGTAGTTACATTTATACAGTCCTAAAATTACATGCAGCCCTTTGAAGGCAGCTGTGAGGCTGATGTGACCACCAGTGAAAATAAGTTTGACACCCCTGGTTTAGGCAAAAAAATTAAAAAATAAAGAAGGGTTGGCTCATAAAATTCCAGAGTTGAATACCCAAGCTGTGTGGAATTCAAGACACAGTGGATACAGCTGTGTTCAAGCGGGTTGGCACTTTCCCTTGTTCATTTCAGCTTCTCCTTGCTGGTGGGCGTCATTCTCTCTCACTGTAGGCGGGTTTTCTACACATGGTGCAAAACTCACAGCAATGCTTGAGTTATATGTGATGTAGTGCCAGCCTTTAAGGAAAAGGTGACTCTCAAAAATAAAAAACTCTAGTCTGGGGCCTAATTACTTTAGATAGGTGGGTTTTTTTGTTTTGTTTTTGTCTACAAAAACAGATAAACTCAAAACACCTTAAAAAACAATCTCTAGGATCTAGTGCACTTCATGTGATATAATCTGGTGCTCAATAAATATGTGCTGGACTTCCGCCAAGATGGAGGCATAGGTGGAAACACCTTGTGTCCCCGCCCAACCAAATCTAAAAACAACAGTTTTAACAACAATAAACGCAACTAAACCACACAGAAAATTGACAATACGGAGTCAGAAAACAATGAAATGCTCAGCTAAACTGGTAAGAGGGGCGAAGCCAGCAGAGGAGCGGGTTGGCCAAAAAGATCCCTGACCAGGGTGGTGCAACCGGGGTGGTGCGCAGGCAGCCAAAGGCGCGGATCCCAGGTGCGGACTAGCTACAGGCGGACACAGGGAAGAGGTGCGGCTGGCTGTCTGCGGTCGGTGGAGCATTTGCGCGCAGATAAACCAGTGAAGAGGCGAGCATTGAGACCCCACGGCGCAGGGCGGCGGGCTCACACATTTCCACTCAGATAAACAGGCAGGGGCGAGTGGTAGGACGGACTGGGAGAGCAGAGAGGACCGCCATTGTTCCCTCTCTGACCCCGCCCCCACATACAGCATCAGAAACAAGCCACCTGGGTGGCCCCGCCCTGATAAACAACTAAGGTTCCGCTCCTCATACGTAACAGGCACAAACAGATAAAAACTAAAAACATGGCTCAAGACCAACTCAGAGCCCCAGAGCTGATAAATCTAAGTGATGAAGAAATGGCCAAACTTTCAGATGCACGGTTCAAAACACTGGTGATCAGGATCCTCACAGAACTGGTTGATTTTAGTCACAAATTAGAGGAACATATGAAGGCTAAACTAATTGAAATGAATGGTAATGCACAGGAAACCAATAGTAATGGAAAGGAAACTGGGACTCAAATCAAGGGAGTAGACCAGAAGGAAGGAAAAAATGACCAAACAGAAAAGAATGAAGAAACAAGAATTGAAAAAAAGGAGGAGAGGCTTAGGAACCTCCAGGACATCTTTAAACGTTCCAACATCTGAATTATAGGGGTACCAGAAGGGGAAGAGGAGCAGCCATCAGTGGAAAACTTATTTGAACAAATAATAAAAGAGAACTTCCCCGTTCTGGCAAAGGAAATAGACTTCCAGGAAATCCAGGAAGCTCAGAGTCTCAAAGAAGTTGGACCCAAGAAGGAACACACCAAGGCACATCATCATTACATTCGCCAAGATTAAAATGAAGGAGTGAATCCTAGAAGCAGCAAGGGATAAGGGGACAGTCACCTACAAAGGACTTCCCATCAGACTGTCAGCTGATTTCTCAAAAGCAACCTTACAGGCAAGAAGGGGCTGGAAAGAGGTATTCCAAGTCATGAAAACCAAAGACCTACAACCAAGATTGCTCTATCCAGCAAAGTTTTCATTTAGAATGGAAGGACAGATAAAGTGCTTCTCAGATAAGACCAAATTCAAGGAGTTCATCATCACCAAGCCCTTATTATATGAAATGTTAAAGGGACTTACCTAAGAAAAAGAAGATAAAAAAAGATGAACAGTGAAAGGACAGCAAATTCACAGTTATCAACAACCACACCTAAAACAAAAGCAAATTAAGAGGACAGCTAGATCAGAAGTGAACCATAGAAATGAAGATCACGTAGAGGATTAGCAACAGGGGAGTGGGAGGAGGAGAAGGGGGGAGAAGGTACAGAAAATAAGTAGCACAGACAGTAGATAGAAAATAGATAGGGGGAGGGTAAGAATAGTAGAAGAAATACAGAATCTGAAGAACTTGAGACACATGTCCATGAACTAAAGGGGGGGGATGGTGGGAGAGGGGTGTGCAGGGTGGAAAGGAACGGAGGAGGGGAAATAGAACAAATGTAATGGCATAGTCAATAAAAAATTGCTAAAAAATAATAAAAAAATATGTGTTGAATGAATGGACTGGGAAGGAAAAAAAACAAGAAAGCAAAGGAAAAGACTGTATTAAACTAGAGCTTCACTGTCCAATATGGTAACCACTAGCCATAAGTGACTCTAGAACACTTGAAGTAAGTTCAATATGGACACTGGACAATAAAGGCTCAGTAGCAAAAAAAAGAATATACAATATTTTGTACCTTCCATTTTCTAAGTTCACTAACCAGCAGTTATTAGAGCCAAATAGGTTTTACTTGGATTCTACAAGTTTCAAATAGAAACTTTTATAACATGAATCACCAACATTTAAAATCAGATTTCACAAAATTCTTAAGTTATTTGTGTAATATTGGAAGACATTTTTTCCATCCCACTTATACGATTCTTTTATCCGTTTGTGCTGTTTGCTTTTATAAGCTAACCTGTATTCTAACAGGTGAAGAATGAATGAATTACTAATATCCAGCTACACACTCAGGCCCTACAACTGTGGTGAGGAGAGACGGAGTTGACTAAGCACCATCTCCATCAGAGAGGAAGAAAATGGGGCAACAGGAAGGGACATGGGGGCAATATTTCATTGCACAGTTAAATGTGTATAAGATGGCTTCAGTGATAATCTATTACGTACATTCTTATTTAAAAGTAGCCACATGTAAACTCTGTATATTTCCTTTACAACATAAGGTAGTGACCAGACTCTGAAGTCAGATTGCCTGTGTTCAAATCCCAGCAAATTGTGACCTTGGGCAAATTCCTTAACCTCTTTATGATTCACTTTCCTTAATTGTAAAATGAATATAAAAATACTTAATTGTAAAATGAATATAAAAGTATAAATGAATATAAAAATAGAGTTATTGTGAGGGTTAATATAAATAACTAATAAGCAATAGTAGCACCTGTCTTCTATTACAATTATAATTATTACAACTCCTCCTCTTCCTGTTAATATTATTATTATCTACAGCCTAGCAGGGAAAGTGCTGGAGGTAAACTCTGACTTAAGGAGACCAGATCTAAATGCACAATGAGATCGAATGGGGCACAGGAGAGGAAAAACATTGGAGGTTTAGCTCCAAGGTGGTAGTAGGAAGCTCTGGAATTCCAGAGTGGGGCAGTGGAATTTCTACAAAGGCATTGGAATTCAGCTCTGGTAAACTCTTAAAGAGCCGTGTTGTTGTTTTTCTGAGATTAAAAGAAAAAAATTTCAATTAGCAAAAAATTAAAATAAAAAAATTAACACTCATTTGGGGAACAGTGTATTTGGTTTTCAGGCAACAGAAACAAATAAAAAAACATTTTCAGTGTTTTTTTCAGATTTATTAAAAAAAAAAAAACTTCCAGGAGTCTCTTGGGGTAAGAACAATTCAGTTCACCTATGCCCCCTAGAAAGTCAAACGACAGGTTTATAATTATGCTATGAGTTAGTTTAAATGCTAATAAAGCAGGATAAAGTAGTCTCAAGTCCACACTATGACTTTAGAAATTCATATACATAAATTTGAATTTCTCAAGGCTGAAGACTGAACCTTACAAGTGATCCGTTGTCCAAGCCCCTCATTTTACGAAAGGATGAAAATAAAGCCTGCGGAGGTGAAATAATTTGTCCAAATTCCACTTAAATTTTTTATGGCTAAACAAGTCATGTCAAGCAGGAGAAAAAAGTTGAGTCCAACTTTTTGATGTCTGTGGGCCACTTTGTGAAATGTAATCACAAAAAATGTCAGTGTTAAGTAAATTTAAGATTCTGTGTTGGGCTGCATTCATAGCCATTTCGGGCGGCATTTGGCCCTGAGGCCCAGGATTGGACACCCCTGGTAGAGAGTTACAAAGTCTTAACTACAGCCAAAGAATATGCTCCTATTGGCCATTAAGCTGTTTCGAAAAGGAAAAAAAAGAAAGAGAAAAAGATAAGAAATGTTAAAGTGGAGGGAGTGGGACAAGGACCGACGGAAGTAGCAGAAACCCCCGGATGGAACGGAATGTAGCAATTTTCAATTGAGGGGGCGCAGAGAGGAGGACCTGGCACTTGGGAATCTGTAGGTAGGAGCATGTGGCGTGTCCAGCCCATCACAACTGCCCCGTTCACACACAAACTCACGTAGACACTAATATCCTTTCTCCATGCCCAACTACAGCCAGAAGAGGAAACCAAGTGTGAGGTGCACCTCCAGCCACGTGGATCCTACCTTCTCTTGCGCTGCCTCGGCAGCCGTGAGGCCCAAGAGCCCAAACCTGGAGGGTCCAGAGAAGTCTCCGGGTTCAGGCGCTGGGCCTGGGTGGTCCGAGGTGAGAGATGAGTCCGGCTTCACGCAGGGATGGGGAGAGGGAGACCCGAGTCGCCGCGGCCCCTTACCCGCTCGTGGCCTTCTCAAGCGGAGCATCTGAAAGGCACTTAGCGAAGGCCAGGCGTTTAGCTGGCGTTTCGGGCGGCTTTTCCAGGGAAAAGCGTCGCCATGGAGACGATACCGCTTCCTGCTGGAGCTCCGGGAGCCGCGGAGGTACGCGACGGAAGGGGCGGGGCTGAGGTGGAGCGACCTCGGGGAACTGAGGGGTGTGGAGGGGGCGGGCCGCGCCTGGACACTGGAGGGCGCGAGACGGAGGGGGCGGGGCGGGGAGAGCACTGGCCCGGGCTGAGGGGCTGGGCGAGAGTGGGGCCGGGGCGGAGTACGCTCGGAGAGTCTCAGAGGGTTCTGGACGCGAGACCTGGGTCCGAGAGAGCCCCGCGGTTCTGGGGATCTCGCGGTGTAGCGAATTGGGTGCATACATCTTCGGACGGAGGTCCGCACGCGCACGAGTTACTTTGAGAAGAGCAGAGGGGAGGGGAATTGAAATATCTTTGTCCATACCTGGTCTAGTTACTGGCGGGGAGAGAGAAAAGGGTGGGGTGGCCTCGTTAGTGGTTTAAACTTGCAACAGAAGCTTTGATTTGGGAGAGAGGGTTGTTCCTGGATGTGAATGAACAACTGTCCCCTGCAGGACTTGGTCCCTCAACCTGAGGTCGCCCTAAAAAGATGAAAGGTTTCTTGGGAAATCTCTGGACGCCAGATTCCCCAGAAATTAGATTCCAGGGATTAGAACCAGGGACTCTCCTCTGCCACGAGCCCGGGCCAAGTCCCGGGTGAAATCGACATTGGCGAATGGAAGGTTATACTGCTTAAATCACTGTTTTGGTCACAGAAGGGGGTGGGGAAGAATATGTATTAGAAAATTCTAACTGCCCGGCAAGCTTGGCTTCTAGGAAGTAATTGGCTGTTTTTTCTCCACTTAGTTGGGGGAAGTTACTAAGGATCGATTTGTTGCTAGGCAACGTGTTTTAGGTGGGGTTTGTTAGAATCAAATCTGGATTCGATTTCATTGAGTAGCCCTGATATGAGTTATAATTGCTATTTAACCTTTGGGCTTAGGTACCCGCTGGGAATATGTACCTTGGTAGATGGTTGTGGGCTTCAAATGACATGAAATGTATAAAGCTCTGACACGTAGAAGATGCTTAATAAGTGGCAATTTTAAATTTATTATTAATACTATTATTAAAATAAAACCAGTTGGACCATTTCAGGAACCAAAAGTATGCAGAGATTCTTGTTATTTAAATTAAAATTTTTAAAAAATATTTTTACCTGAGTAGGGGAAGAGAGAGAGAAAAACAGAAACATGGATGTGTCGTGTCCTGACGGGGGATCAAATCCTCAACCCTGGAGTTTCCAGTCGACACTAACCAACTGAGCTGCCTTGCTAAGGCTCAGTTATTTTTACATTTTCTTAGTCATCTCCCCACATTCACTCTAAATTTCCTTGGAACTTTGATGGAAGGAAGAAGAAGGCAAAGGAATAAAGCCAGAATGTAAGTTTTGTAAAGAATGCAATGAAGGCACTGAAAATATTTCACATCCCTAGTTTGGTAAGGACATAAGTAAACCACTATCTCCTTCCTCTATTATAAGAACACCCTTATATAGCAGATGTCGAAAGTTTGCAAATTTTTTTTCATTCAAACAGAGCAAAGGGAAATTGCTATTTATATTCCCCTCATTATATTTCTTGACCAATATTTTAAAGAACATTTGTTTTGATGTATTTGCTTTGTACTGATGAATGTACTGATGTCTGATTGGCTATTCCCATTGTCCTACTCCAAGGAAGTAAGAAAACCCCAGCTCTGATTACGTTTCCTCTTCCTACCTCTGTTCCTCCCAACAAGTCCCTTTCTTCCTCCCAAGAAGATCAAGTCCATTTGTAGAATGCAGTGTTTTCAGTGTTTATTTTTTGTTCTTGAAAGAAGGGGCAAAAATGGTTTAATGACCTTTGAGTATAAAAATATTTTCTCCACATGGAGGGTGGTTAGATCAGGCTTCCACTTTGGGCCTCAGGGTGGGGGTAATATACACCACCTCCCCAGACAGCTCAAAACATGAAATGAGAGAAAATAAGCCCCTGACATAGACCCTGGAACATGACACTTGATCAATAACTTAGCTATTCTTACTATTTCTACTATGATATTATGTATATGAATAAAGGGTGGCTGTAAGGATTAAATAAAGATCATTAAGGTCCCAGTGCCTATTTGAATGCATGATGGTTATTTCTCATTGAAGAAAAAACAAATCTCATCTTTGTATAACTTTGGAAATAATTCTCTAATCTCTGTAAGTTTTGTACAGAAGTTACTGGTTTAATTCCCAAAAGCAAAGTACAATTTAGCTCTGGCTCATGCATTCAGGTCGCTGGATAAATTACAGAAATTATGAATTAGTGAGGGCTTGTTCTAACAAAATGATAGGGAAAAGCCAATCACTCTTATACAAATATTGAATTACCCTATAACAAGTACCTTTTACTGAACTCCACAGTTTTTAATGAATAAATTTTTATTACATATCTGATAGAGCATCATAAAAAATGTTTAAAAACATTTAGTGTTCTGATTATAAAAGCAGTACATACTTATGATAGACAATTTGCCATGCAGAGAAACAAAAAATAAAAACCATAGTTGATCATTTTACCCTTTTTGTGTCCACATACACTTGTAAGATTCATATTAGATATTGTACACATTATTATCATGCCTTTTTTCTTAACATTCTCTCTAAAGTCTTAACATTTCCCCAATGTGTTTTAAAAGTCTTCAAAACATTTTAATGGTCATATGTAATACAAGTAAACCAATTTACTCATAGTTATTCAACCAGTCACCAGTTTGGAAAGTTTCAAGTTTTCTTCGGTGATTCATCCTTTCAAGAATATTTATTGAGTTCTTATTGCATAGTAGGTGCTAGAATAAGTAGGTGCTAGGAATAAGACTTAAGTGGTGAACAGTAACTGTAAATATAAGGTTTTGATGAACATCTTTGTAAATAAATTTTTGATGGCATCTTTCATTCTTATACTGAATTCCTGGGACTATGACAACTTCAAAACAGGATTTTTTTTTTTCTGGTTCAAAGGCAAACTTAAATAAAATTCTGAACTGTAAAATATTAACTTTTGGAAAATTGCCAATAGACTTAATATTTATTTTGTGCAAAGTGTGAACCTACCCAGAAGATGCTTTCTCCTTTAGTGACTGTGAAACATCAAGGGTGGTTGAAGTGTATTGACTTTGGCTTTTATCTCTAATTCTTTCCAGGATTTGCAGGTTTTCTCAATAGTGTGAGATTGTTTGAAGTCTATGCAAATTGCCCCACTTCCTCCTCTCACTCAGAGATAAAATGTCAACTATTTTATTTCTAGCTTTCCTCTTGTAAACATATGGTTTTTCTACATTTTTTTCATTTACCTTCCTGTGTGAAATATTTTGTATCCTTACACTTTTTTAACTTTCAAACCCGAGCTATAATATACACATTCCTATATGGTACTGATATACCCTGCAGTTAATTTTGGTCAAGAAACATCATTGAAATTAACCAATGTATTTAGAGAATTTCATAATAAAGATTATTCATTAAAAGTAATAATTACTCCCAATATACACCCTCCCTATTATTATTAGACAATTAAAATGTTTCTGTATAAGGTTGAACCATATAAAATCGTCATTGATGGGTTAAAACATTCAAATGACAACTTCAGGTGGTTCTATCTATATCATTAACTAGTTTATGATTTTTCAACTTTCTCCAAATATTGACCTTTCTGATTATAATACAAACAATTCTTTCATCCTTACACACGGTTGTATTTGCTTTGACATTCATAAATTCTGAATCTAGTCAGCAGAGTATCATAAAGTGTTTATTTATTATTTCAGAGACAGTAGAGGGAGCCTGTAGCCAAAAGGTTGTTATATTAGGCTTCACATAAATGATGATTGTCTTTCAATTCTTGAGTGGATGAATTTAAATATTATTAAGAGTATATATATATATATATATATATATATATATATATATGAAATGGCAGCCTTTAAAAAAAAGTTGGTTGCACCTTTAATATGATAGGGAGGGAAAGGTTGGCTGTCAGTTCAAGCTAGACCCCATCAGGGTTCCTGCGGGACTGGCCAGATTCCCATTGTCCTCTGAGTAATGCTGGAGATAGCACACAGCCGCCGCAGTGACAAATTTATGCTCCACAATTTTCCTCTTTCAACCCATAATGTAGGTCCCCCATTTCCATGGGCGTTACCTCCTGATTATTTTATCAGAACTTCAAAAATGTTGCCATTCCCAGTCATCTTATTAAAGTGTCTGTGGTTTAGTCGACTGCTTCCTCCAGACATGTAAGGAGGTATTTTGATCCTGTCTTGAACTCATATCCTTCCAGGAAGGAATAAATTACTCCTTTCACAAAGCAGGGATTTTTGTTGGCCTTAATTAAAGATGCAGGGTTTTGTTTTTTTTTTTTGCTGACCTCTCCTCAACCATCTTTATCCTCATTTTTTTGTTAATTGCTCTGGTCCTAGTGTTATAAAGAGGTCCCCAAGGTAATTGGTGGTCATCATTATTCTTCACTGTGTAGGGAGGGCTCCAAGTCCCAGAAGTCTGGCAGTAAGATGGAGAAGCTCTCTATTTAAAACCTAACAGCCCATACGACATAGGTAGAATCAATTTGCTGCAGCAGGGTTTCCTAAACTGGTGTTAAGAGGAAATTCTCCTGGAATGTTAATGACATGCAGAGAAAAAAAACGCATCCTGGGGAGGAAATGAGTTTGTAAACTTTTAAAAGTTTTGTTGTTTAACTGGGAACTCTCAGAGGCTTTAATATGCTAATGTACTTGGTCAGTCTCTCAGAGGGAGATTTTAAATGTATAGCCTTTCTCAAATTTATTTGACCAGAAAATTTCACTCCTTTTCCTAGGGTCATTTGGGAACGTCCTAGATACCTCCTCTGTGATCTGAAGCTAGCTCCAAGTGAGGAAAATGGCCCCTGTCTGTCTCCAGCTTCATCGGGAATCAGCTAGCCTAAAATTGGAAAGGGCAAACAACTCTGGGAATTTTAACCAACTGTATATCCAGGTGAAGGGTCATAATGAAAAAA